TAAAATGGGTCCATTTTGAATTTTTTAGGGACCACGATGGGCCTTTTTATTTGCTAGGGACTAAAGTGGGTATCGTGAAATTTGCTGAGGACCAAAAAGTATATTTACTCTAAATATTAATATAGCGAAAAAAAATGTCAATTGTCCTAGGGTTTCAAGTCTTAAAATAAATATAATCCACCTATACTAATTAATATAACAAAAATATCTCATATATGGTAGGGTTTACAATCCTAAAATAATCTACATTAAAATAAAATATTTAAAACAAATAAAATCAAACCAATGTTAAAATCCTTTTTATTATTTTAATTTAAAATAAATTTTAAAATATCAATAATCATATAGTTTACCTATACTAATTCATTTAACAAACATTAAACATGTCATCTATGCTAGGGTTATAACCCCTACACTAACAAAAATAACAAAATAATAAAATATCATTTATCTTATGATTTCAAGTCCAAAAATAAATTACATTAAAATAAAATATATAAAACAAAAAATTCAAACCAATATTAAAACCTTATTCATGATTTTAAATTGAAATAAAAATTAAAAAAAATATCAAATATCCTGTAGTTTACCTATACTAATTCATATAAAAAATTAAACATGTCAATCTATCCTAGTGTTTCTTATATTAATATATGCTAATAATATTAATATAAAAATATTATAAATAATAACCTTATGTTGAGAGAGAGAACCTTGAATGAAATTTTTAGAGAGACAAAACTTAGAGTGAAATTTCTAGAGAGACAGAGAGAATGTTGAGAGTGAGAGGTGGGGGGATGTTAGCTGTGTTTATAGGAAATGTGCTGCATACAATTCAGCAGACTATGCAACAAATTAGGTGAGGTTGTGACACATGTCACACATGCATGGTCTGACTGTACGATGTGCATAATATTTGGCTGACTGTTCAACAAGTGATGCTAGCTCCTGACACATGGAAAAAGCTGCACCAAAGTAGCGTAACAGCCTAGCAGATTATGTCATGTGGATAGCTTTTTCAGACTACGCAGTTTGCCACTTTGACTGGATATATTGGTTCACTGTTCATGTGCCCAGACAACTGTTGCCTGTTGTTGTAGTGACTTTGTGACGTGACATTTTGGAAAAATTTGACTGGAGTGTGGCATTATGATAATTAGTATATGCAATATTGTGGTAAATGTCCCAAAAAATACATGTTTTTAAATACTATAGTTAATGTACACGTTTTAGAATATAGAGCAAGAAATCTAGGAGCATATAAAAAGCTCTAAAATATATGCATAAAGATTTTTTTCTCTAAAATATTAAATTATATAATATGATGAAAACTAAATAATGTGATATTACCAAAGATTAAACGGTAGACTAGAGAGCTAAACCATAGAGTATAGCAAAAAATTTAAAGTAGATCGTATGGATGAAAATAGAATGTGATGTAGAAAAATCAAATGGTTTTATATGATTAGATTAGAAAAAGAAAAAGAAAAAGAAAAAGGAAGAAGAAGAAAACAATCTTAAATGCGAAATGAATTTTTTTTTGGGTAGAAGACGAGGCTCATCCCCGAAATTATTTATTTATAATAACACGATGTCTAAAAACACCAGATACATCAGCAAGTAACAACAACCTAATACCCAGAGGGGAATTAGGATATAAAACTAAATTAACTACATCACGATGCTCAAGAGAGTAATTAGCTAACCAATCCGCGCAGTGGTTTCTTTCTCTGTAAGCATGTTTGAATCTAACTCTTCACTCCTTATTGACCCATGCTCGTATTTGAGATAAGAGACTTAGCTCATAAGATGCATCACCATCTTTGGTGAGCAGAATGATAGCGTTTGCCGAATCACTTTCTACAATTTTATTTCTCCAGCCTCCTTGCCAAGCTAGTTCCGGCCTTTCAAGATGTCCAAAAGTTCCTGTGAGAGTTGAGCAGGATCCAACATAATATGTAAATCCATTTAGCCAATTACCATTTTCATCTCTAATTAAACCACCGTAAGCCGCCACACCTGGATTACCTCGTGAAGCCCCGTCAGTGTTCAACTTCACCCAACCCGTATCAGGGGGTTCCCATCTAATAGCTTCCTGAACATAAGAAGATTGTAGATCCTTCCTGGAAGAAGCCACAAAAGTCTTATATACCTCAGAGATCTGTGATTTTAAAGAGTAGACATCAAGTTGTTTTCTGTCTTGTACATCACTGTGGATCCATTTATTTCTCCAACACCAGATATGCCACCTTGCAATCATGAAAACAATACACCAAGGAATGTTAGAAACCAATTCGGAGTCATTGGATACATTTAACCATGTACAATAATAAGTAGTGAAGTAAGGGAGAGACTAGCAAGAGCGATCACTTTTCTTCAAGTTTATACTAACTTTTAGAATGAGTGTTAATTTTGATTTTTTATCATATATTTGAAGTTTGACCCACTTCAAAACTTAAAAAAACCTTTAATTGTAAGTATCATTTTTTTTTATCACATAAATAATTATAATTTTAAAGTACTTTTGACGGCTTTCAAAAATTTTCTTGCTCCGCCATGGACACTTCATCGCAAACCTTTTGCAACACTTTCAGAAGTCTAACACTATTTAGATTATTAGATTATCTGAAATGATCATAGGAGACACTCATATAATGTTTATTTAAGAATGTTATAACTACTTTTTATTCACAATAACACTTCTAGTTCTACCCATTTTGTGAAACAATCAATAGGTCATCAGGGTGAATCTATACCTATTTGAAACTTCTCTGAGACTATTGGACCAATGATGTCAATGTCCAAAATTGTAAGAGGCCATGATGACACAAGTCTATGTAATTAAACTAGAGGTCTATTCATATGGTGGGCACACATTCGGCACTTGTGGCATTTTTCTAATATATTCCATAAAATTTCTCTTAATTAGTGGTTTAAAGGGGGCGTTTGGTACGAATACCACAAACTTCTTTATGAAGCTTTCTCGACAATATATACATATATATTTGCATGGGCACATCACAAAAAAGACAAACTTCAGGTTTTCCTTTGATAAGAAAATCAATGGAATAGATGTTCCATGATATGTTATAAATATGCACACATGACACATGTCATATAAAAATTTAAACTAATATTATTTTTATCAATGAAAATCAATATAATGTTGCATTCTATTCTCTAAAGTACACCTTTCGGCAGTAGAGAATTTAAATCCTTGGATTATAGAACTATAAAAGCATACAGTTTTGTTGTATGCTTTTTAGAAAAAAAAATAGCAGACTTTTAAACTTGTCATCGTAAAGAATTATCGTGTAACTACGTCGGTTCTGTAAAGATTTTTACCATTAAATTAATATTTTAAAAGTTAAATTTGTCCTTTTGTGACATATAATTTTGTTATTTTAGTCAAAATTATTATGTTTTATCATAAGAGAAACAAAAATCATGATAAGAAAAAGTGAAAGATTTTTTAATTTAAATATTAAATAAAATAATTAGTTTGAACTAAAATGATTATCTTTTAAAATAATAATTAGAGTAAAGCTGGATCCCTAACAAAAAATACGGTTCCCATTTTAGTCCTTTACAAAAAAATTAGTCTTGAGGTTCCTAAGAAATTCAAAGTGAACCCATTTAGTTGAGATCGTGATCCCACATAAATTCAAAAAAGACCCACATTAGTCCTTCAAAATGACTAAACTGTGTCAACTTTGAATTTTATAGGCATCAGACGACTAATTTTTTTTTTTTTTTTGTAAAGAACTAAAGTCATGAGAACCATACTTTTGTTAGGGATCAAAAGAGGCTTTACTCTATTAAATATTTTCTCCTTAATCCATTATGAAAGCAAATATAGTGATATTTAAAATATTTGAATAGTTAATTAAATAATAATAAAATTTTAAAACTAATATAGTAATGATACCATAATATATAAAAAAAGTTGAATATATATATATTGGATTTCGATTTTTGAATGAAATGACCATGTTTTCATATATATATATTTAGGATTTCGATTTTCTCATGTCGTAGGAGAAAATTTTCTCATATTGTAGACACATTTTATGTGGGGCCCACATCAATAAAAAAATAAAAAAAATATTGCACGAAAATCGAAGGGTCACTAGTAGGAGAAAATAACTCTCCTACAACATGAGAAAATGTTTTCTCATATATATTTATTAGTCTTTCATTATCTCTTTTCTACAAAATTAGGAAGATAGAGAAAGAGAAAATATTGTAGATGAGAAAGAATTAAAAAATTAATAAATATGCACCAAAACACGTTGGTTTAACTTTTTTATTTTTGGATACAAGTAGAAATTGAATACATAACCTAATACAACCTACACAAATCCCTCACCACTAGTCAATACTAGTGGCTTACGTTGGTTTAACTTAAAATGACACAAAATTATATCATTTAAAATAATAAATATTTTTCCTTATATGTATATGATTGGCATTTATTTATAATTATGTAAATATATTATTATTACGAGACTTATTCATAAATGTAAATATGTTGGGACTGGCTCTGATATAAGGATCTATGCATGCTTTAGTGGCTGTGAATGAGCAAGGGAATAATGCCATTATGAATGGTTCAAATCAGCATGAGCATCCACTAAATATTAATTCAAAATTTAAATTAACGCTCAGTTATATGTAGCTGCATTATGTACAGGACAGCAGAAAGATTCTTTTATTCTCATCTTCTGTAAAATATGGAAACAACTTTGTCTAGCTAGCGTTGAAGGTTTAACTAATTATGCAATCTGGGAATATTACTTTGTTCAGCCTTGTAGACAATTGGTGCACGTTGTCTAACGATTTTCAAAGATGGTGTGTAAAAAGAAGATTATCAGAATATATTTTTCCTTGGCATCCAAACTCTGCTTTCTTTTTTAAGCTCATCCATATCCCACGAGACTTGTTATTCCCATTTCATCAAGGATCTAGATACCATTCCTGTCTGAAAGGTTGTAACATCACTTGGTTTAGTTGATAGAAATGCTATATAATAAATATCTCTTTATATATATATATATATATAAATGAATTGATACTTTTGAACCATTTGTTGTGCCTATATGTGAAAGAGTACTATATATCTATATATATATATAACTTCAGCTTGTTTACAAAATATTATCATCAAGAATTGCAAATGGCACAGAGGAATATATTCTATTGCAGGTTTCTTCCTTAGTTGTTCTTCTTTCCTTCTTTATATCTAACATGGCTTCCGTGTTAGCGAGAGTTTTTGGCTCTCAAATCTCTGCCTTTATATACCGTTGTTTTATCTATCACGATCATAATCACAACATCAATAAGAACTACAAGATGCCAAAGGGTCGACCACTTTCCTTACAGGTTTGCTTTTAATATGATTTGTTTTTCCCCCTCTTGAAAATGGAACAACAGATTATAATTAGGGAAAGAGAAACTATTGTTAATTTCCTCCTTATGTTATTTCAATATTTCTCCATGATCAGATGTACGTACAAGTACCCTTTCCCCCCTTAATTTCAGCTCATGTGTGTTTGGATTTTATTCATTATAAATTGAGAAAAATGTTTCTGCAGTTAATGCACATAAGTTATCTGCATTTATTTCCAAAAAGACGTCGTTTTGATATTGAAATCTTAAAAAATTATAAATATAAAGACTATTATAACCCTGAAATAAATTAAAATTACAAAAACACCATGATTTTCGTCCCAAAACGACGTCGTATTAGCTTACTGCACATAATTTATCTACAGTAACTGCAGAAAAAGCGAACCCTTATAAATTTCGGAATAAAATGAAACTGAAAATGAAAAGTCCTATTTATGTATAGATGTCAGTGAGATTTTCACTTGTGAAGATGTAATTTAGTCTTACATCGATATATATATAACAGAAAGAGACGGCACATATTAACATCCCTTTTAATTAGAAAAAAAAAAGGAAGGATAATTGTAAGAATTATATAAATTAATTATATGACGGGCCAATGATATTGTCGAACACGGAATAGAAGAGTGAGAAAAAGTAACTTTTCGGGTGAGTACATATGAGAATATGTGAAACATTAATTAAAAGTAGATTAATTGTTGTTTAAGTTTTACTTTGAGAGATTTTGATTAGTTGTTGTTTCATGCAAATTGAAACGCCATCTTTGATACTTATTCGTTTCAGACCGTTGAGCTGAAAGTAAGGATGTGCTGCACAGGTTGCGAGAGAGTAGTTAAAAACGCCATTTACAAGCTTAAAGGTATGTCTTCTTCTTTTATTTTTTATTTTTAATAAGGTTACTATAAGGCTCATTAACTGAGGTTTACATAAGAATCCTTTAGTTGAACCCCTCAAGTGACTCGTAATGGAGACTAGGGAAAGGGATAAAGATAATGAAAAGAAAATTAAGATGGGGGAATATTTTTGGATATCAAAATCCTACTATTTTCACTACATATTCTCAGTTTTTTAACAAGTGAGCTGGATGACATATCTATATTTTTATTTGTTTGACATAATTAATCCAAATAATATTCTCTAAGGCATTCAATAAAAATGTGTTCACAGGCATAAATGCCCCTTCTCAGGACAAAAAACTAATGAATTGAATTCCTATATATTTTGATGAGTTTGATTTGTTTCATACGTACAATATGTAAAATTAATATTCATCCATTACGTATGCTTTATTGTTAATTTATAATGTAGTGAATCTTGATATTGAATCTTTCTAGTTTATATTTTAAACATGATTATTATTTTTTTACTAAATGATGGTAGCTGAGTTGGCGTCAAGAAACTGAGAAGATGGGAGTGAAAACATGTGTTCAATCTTCCTCAATATTGTTTTTGAGAGAGGTTTAAATCTTAATCTCGAGACTCGTCCCGAATCGGACTAATCGCGAAGCGATAAACCGATTGAAATATCTAAAAAAAGATAAAAGATGATTATTTTCTTGTCAGTTGTGGGTTTTTTCTTTAGGCAATGAAAGAAGTTGTTTTTTTGGTGGTTAGACTTTAAATGCTTAGATTATTGAGAGATGATTTTTTTATTTCTTAATTATAAATTATTTGGAATATTAAATTGAGATAACAACTCTTTAACATTCCATAAAAGCAATTTATACTATATACGAATAATATTTCCTTTTAAGTTTTTGTTTATTTCACTTTTAGAAAAATTTAACTCTCCTGAGCAGTTTATAACTTAGTTGATACCAACTTACGTCCTTAAGACTTAAATTTGATGTTAAAAAAGGTGCATCAAGCTACTTTTTCCTCCCTAATTCAAAGCGCTAAAGAAACAAAGTTAATTTGTTGACCGGATATAATTCATTGTCCATAAAGTTCATATATAACCACCAAAACTTTTCTAAATAAAAGCACGAGACATTCGCTCATGCGAACTCTTGTTTCCCTTTTACAAACAATATATGTTTCCCATGTGTCAATAAATTGAACCCCTACCTAAATAATATTATTATGATGAAGAAGTTTGTTCCTATTAATTAGAAGTCTCGAATTCGACTCTTAAATGAAGAAAATAAGTATTGGGAGAGAAATTCTTTATATTATTCCGACAATTCTCGAACCAAATTAATTAATATGAAAAAAAATATTATATCTATATCAGAAATCATTTTTTTTATTTTGCTAGAAAAAAAAATTCTGCAAAAAAAATAAATAACTATATATGTACATAGTTACAATATTAAAACTGTTTTGTTTTTTTTTCTCTCCTCAGATATTGTCGGTTAACGTGACGGAGAGAAAAAAATAATTTTACCATTATAACTATATATTACCCGTAAAACATAATTATAATAGGTTGTTGAGATAATTTTTTTTCTAACAACATGAGAAAAATGGAATCCTATCTATATAAATGTATAATATTTATATGTTATTTGATAGGTATCGATTCAGTGGAGGTGGAGTTAGCTATGGAAAGGGTGACGGTTCGTGGTTATGTTGATCGGAACAAGGTGCTTAAGGCTGTAAGGAGGGCTGGAAAGAGGGCTGAATTCTGGCCTTACCCCAATGCACCACTTTACTTCACATCTGCTAGCCATTACTTCAAAGATACAACCAATGAGTTCAAAGAAAGCTACAACTACTATAGACATGGCTACAATCTCCCAGAAAGGCACGGGACTATTCATGTGTCTCGCCGTGGAGATGACGATGTTAGTAACATGTTCAATGATGATAATGTCAATGCTTGCTCCCTCATGTAATTAACCTTGTTATGTGTATTGCCAATCGTGAAAACTTTTATCACAATAAAATGTAAATTTGCAGTGTATATATATGTATTGTTAATCGGGCCGTGCCTGAAAATTTTTATCACAATATGTAAATTTGCAGTAAATGTTGTATATATATGTGTTATGAAACGGGGCGTGGCATGCTTTTGTGAATTTGACTTCTTCTTTTTTTGGGTACATGTGAATTTGACTTTTCTATTGGTGCATATACATGCATCAAGAAAGCGTAATTTACACCTAATGAGTGCAGCTCAGTTGGTTCCTTGGCGCTGAGTTAGTGGGGTTGGACATGTGTTCGATTCCCGCTGAATGAATGCTAACATATTGTCGTACCAGATCTTCTATTTGAATATTGCAGCATATTTTCAAAGTTAATTGTTGTGTTGGGAATTAATTAATCTCTTAATATGTTTTTTTTTAAACCTAAAATCTTAAATTGAAAACCTCAAGCTGGCTAGCCCCTCTAAACTCAACAAATTGGGCCCAATATTTATAGTCCATGTTTAGAACTTTCTGATGGCACCCATATATGATGAGCCATAGAATTTCATCATAGGGTATTCCCTCTTCCTTATCCATTGTACACTGACAATAGATACAAAACATCTTGTAGGAGAGGTGAGACTAGGCTAATAATGGCTCAGCTTTTCCCTTCCTCTTCCACGAAAATATGTAATGTGCACTGAGACTCTGATGGGCCTTCAAAAGCATGGCACCTGATTTAAAAAAAAAATCTTTTTCCGTACAATTGGCATAGGAGATGCTGGCTTTTAATTGGTTTGTCTCACCGAACTTCTTCTACACCGGGTGCACTATAATTTCTCTCCTCTTCCACGTCTAGATAATTATAACGGGCTTTAGAAATGATGGGAGCCCAATTATCAAGCGGTCTAACAGGGGAAGAGTAACTAAGCGGCCAGAGCACTTCAGGGACTTCATTATGGGCTGAATTAGGTAAAGGCCCAGTAGTTAAAGACATGTTAGGAGTTGTGGGTCACTGTTCCTTTTTCAATTTCATTATCCTTTTGTAATTACAAATAACCTGGGAGGCGATGAAGAAAATATAGAAAATTCAGACAACTCTTCTCTCTTCTTTCTTTCTCTCTCTCTCTTCTCTCATTTTTATCTCTGTGGATAACTGTGTGACCTCTACTCTGTTACATTGGTGCTTTCATTGAGTTATGGCAGAAAATACCAGACTCAGAGATCTCACCACTCAAATCCAGGCCCATGACCAACAATTCTCTCATCTGGAGCGATCATTAGACCACCGTCAGGAAACTTTTGAGTTATTACAAACTCAAAGACTTGGTGAATCTAATAGACAACTACAGGAGATGTTCTGTTTACTGCAAAATATGCAGCAACAGATGACGACATTCACCACAAACCCCCAGGCAGGTATACTGGGAGCCAACCCTACGCGTCCACCACAACCAGTCCGTTCCATGAAAATTGACTTTCCCAGATTTGGATCTGGAGACCCCGGACCTTGGCTATTCGCAGTTAATAGGTATTTCAGATATTACCAAATTCTGGATCATGACAGATTAGATCTAGTATCTTTTAATTTGGATATGCCTGTTTCTTGTTGGTTTGAGGCACCTTTTGCTCATGGCCAAATTCCAGATTGGCAAGCTTTTGTCATTGCTATTAACCAGAGATTTGGACCATCAGAATTTGAAGACCCACTTGGATCTTTGGTCAAATTGCAGCAATCTGGATCAGTTGTGGAATTTCAAACAGCTTTTGAACTGGTAGCTCGTAGAGCTCCAGATCTGACCCCTGTCATGCATAAAAGCCTGTTTATAGCTGGTTTGAAACCCCAGATCCACAGAGCAGTAGTGGTTCACCGCCCAACTGATTGTACTTTAGCTTTTGCCTTTGCTAAGATTTATGAGGATCAGTTCGCAGAAACTCGTTTCTCTAAACCATGGTCTCAACGTTCCAATAACCCTCTACAACCAATTGCAGCCTCACCCATTACTACCATTTCCCCATTCAGTTCATTTAAACCAAATTCATCATTACCACCCATACCCATTAAGCGTTTGTCAGCAGAAGAACGGCAAGCTCGTCGTGACAAAAATTTGTGCTATAACTGTGATGAAACATCTGTATGTGGTCATAAATGTAAAGGCCGAGCCACACTGCTGTATCTTGATGGCTCAGATGATGACCCACCTGATATACCACCAGCCCAAGACTACACACCTGAACAAAATGTTGAATTAACTGAGACACCAACTCAGGAGGTTCTACATGAAATTAGTTTTAATGCATTATTTGGTCATCAATCCTCGAATTCATTTAGGATGCAAGGTACAATTCATGGGCAATCAGTACAACTATTGGTGGATGGAGGTAGTACTCACAATTTTATCACCTCTCGTATGGCCTCACATTTAAATTTAATTTTACATGCTGTCCCTCCTTTTAAAGTCAGGGTAGGAAATGGAGATGCCTTATTATGTCCTGCTTTGTGTAATATTGTTCCTATTGTTATTCAATCGCATTTGTTCAACATTTATGTTTTTGTGATTGAGTTAAAATGTGCTGATCTTGTTTTGGGGGTGCAATGGTTGGCAACGCTGGGTCCCATTGTTATAGATTACGCTGCACTAACAATGTCCTTTAATCACAACAATACACAGGTATCGCTTCAAGGTGAAGTTTCTACTCAACCACATCACATCAGCTTGTCCCAATTGCACAAACTCATGCTCCAGGATTCAATTTCCTCATGTCTGATGTGTTTTTCAACTCAGTGGGATGACAAAGATCCTGACGCTGACAAAACAGAACAAATTCCAGGCTTGGATCACCTACTTTAGGAATTCATAGACGTCTTCTTAGAGCCTTCTTCCCTTCCACCAGACCGCGCTTATAATCATCACATTTTCATCATGGGGTATTCCCTCTTCTTTATCCATTGTACACTGACAATAGATACAAAACATCTCGTAGGAGAGGTGAGACTAGGCTAATAATGGCTCAGCTTTTCCCTTTCTCTTCCACGAAAATATTTAATGTGCACTGGGACTCTGATGGGCCTTCCATCAAAAGCATGACACCTGTATTTAAAAAAAAAAAAAAATCTTTTTCCGTACAATTGGCATAAGAGATGTTGGCTTTTAATTGGTTTGTCTCACCGAACTTCTTCAACACTGGGTGCACTATAATTTCTCTCATCTTCCATGTCTAGATAATACCCACTCCTCTATATATATCATTTTTCTTCCATTGAAAAGAGATTCAATTTCACACATTCTTATGATATTTAGAGTCATCGTAATCAAAATACACCTCTCCCTTTGTAGATATATCTTCTTAGCACCTGGATAACTCATATTGAGTCTTGGTTTATATCATTAAATTGATACACTTCACCTTTTACGGAACACAACTTTGATTTTAAATCCATGACACTTAGAAGCCTAAACCCAAAACTCTAATTTTTGAACCACACGTGATAATTGGCTTTTTGACCCTTTTGTTCTTCATTAATTAATTAATAACTATTTTGTCCCTGATCTAAAACTATCCACCAATTTGCCCCTTTTTAATCAATTAACTTGAAGATTTAATCGATTAAATGGTCAAAACTGAAAAAAATGGTTGACTCGAGATTTAATCGATTAAATCCATCTTTTAATCGATTAAATCTTCAGCTTACTGCAACACCGGTTTCTAAAGGTGACTTTTAACTTTTTCCTAGCTACACCCGTTTTCTCTAATCTTGCTGCAACAAAGGGGCTTGTATCGTATCTCAGATAAGGATGAACTGCCATAAATTGCGAACAAATATATAAAGCAACTAGCACTAAAATTAATCCATTCCACATCATCAACAACATCTTTAACCCAGGACCAAGATCGGAGATCCCCAGTACAAAGAATTCAAGGAACTCAGGTTACATTATATTTATCGCCCAAAATTTTCCTTACTTGGGCTTCGCTCCTGCCTTTCGATCAAAATATTCTACTGCTGCAGCTCCAGCTAATGCTCCCAATGTAAGAGCCTGTGCTCAAAATATTCTACTACCGCAGTTAATCACATTTACAAAAAAATAGATATATGTTTATTACTTGCAATAGGAACGAAGACTAACCCATATCCTTAAGAGAGTAGATTAATTGAAAATTGAAAAGCTTATCTTCATAGGGCAAGAAGGACAGTGAGAAAAAAGAAAACAGAAACGAAAACTCAAAGAAAAATTTGATCACCAAACACTACAACATTATTTCGAGATAAACAAAACTACAATCAATCCGTGTCACCAACTAACAATTGACATTTCCCATTAAAAACTAAGAAACAGAGTTTAGTAACAAAATCTCTCATTTCTGCTGTATTTAATCGATTAAAAACAAGTTTTAATCGATTAAATCGACGATTAAAAAGAATATTTAATCGATTAAATCTCGAGTTAATCATTTTTTGTTAATTTTAATTATTTAATCGATTAAATTTTCAAGTTAATCGATTAAAGAAGGACAGATTGATGAATAATTTTGGATCAGAAATAAAATAATTATTAATTAATTAACGAAAAACAAAAAGATAAAAAAAAACTCGTAATAATTCCTAAACATGAAAATATAAATTACAAATTCAGAGTCCCAGAAAAGTAAACCATTGACTTCGTATTCGTGAGTCGGTAAGGTCTTGTCTCTTCGTCATGGATGGGATGTGCATCTATACGCCTTAGGTGGCCAACTATGTGCAAAGCTAATTGGACGTTACAGTTGTTGATTATTAGATAAAGTCACAGGCCGAACAAAAGTCCCAATCCCGAATTATATATCTAAACCTGAATTCCAATGTATTTTGCTACAATCCAAAGTTATAAAAGTTGTGGATATAGCATTTATTAATTTTTCATATTTTTTGAATGTAGCATTTAAGAGATGTTGTAATTCATATATATTAATCTAACTCGAGTAATATTTTTTTTTCATAAATTTAAAATATTTCAAGAAAAAACGAACATTTATGAATTCAATTTTAAAATTAATTGAAGATGGGGAGTAATGATTATTTTGAAAACTGCCCAAGACATTTTTCTATTATTAGTAGAAAACAGTGTTTTTTATTATTTCATTTTGTAGATCTAAACTGGTTTATTTCGATTCGAGGACTGTTGAATTCTTATTCAGGAAGTTTCTAGTAACACCATTTTTTCTATACTTAAGTTTCAAACTTGAAATTTCTGATTAAGGAAAACAATATTTTTTGCAACTTGAATAAATGACTATTGATACTATTATTATAAATACTATTGATACTATTGCCAATTTTTTAAAATTCATTTCATAAATATTATTGTTTTGTCGTAAATATATAAATGTTATTTTAAATTACTAGCGGTATTATTTTTATAACTTTTTTTTTTATCCAAAATCCATTGATATCATGTACTATAATTATTAAGTAATTTAAAATAGGAAAATAATAAAAGACTCATAAAAACCCATTCGAATTTTTTTTTTTTTTGGTACATTGCCAGGAGTATCTCCATTTAACCTTCTCCGGGCACCATGTCCTCGGGGTACGGCCCGTTTGGGCTTGCCTCTCATTGTAACAGTGAGTGCACTAAGCTTCGCAACCGGAGAAAGGACGAGACTAATCCCCCAACCGAAGATTTTTAGCTTATCCTCTGGCCCCCAAAGATTTTCCAAGAAACTGCTTGAGGCAGGGTTTGATCCCTGCACCAAGCAATCCCTTGGGAGCTCAGCCGCCAACTGAGCTACCCTTGGGGTTCCATTCGAAAAATTTAGGAGAGATGCACTTTGATTTATATATTTTCTTCTATTTGATTTTTAAAATTATTATGAGAATAAGCGCGCAGGTGAATATATTTTTATTAAGTCATTCCTGATTAATTTTAATTTGTGGATAGAATTCATACACGTGACAATGATTGAAATGTGAAAACAAAAATAATTATAATCAATAAAATGTTGTAGAGAAATCCAATCTCACCAGTTGGCTTGTGCAAGAGAAAAAAAATCCTGAAATAGTGGCTCCAATTAAGGTTATACAGATATTCAGGTCAATTTGATGGTTTAACCAACTAAACCCAAACAATAAAAATAGTCTGATTTTGGAGCAAGATTGATTTGTATAACGTGATGCTTGACAATCGACCATCTTACAAAGAAAAAACACTACAGAAGATATTATTATATATTCACTTCACACAAATCTATTCTATCTTATCGTATCACATTCCTATATCTTTGACTTTGACTTTTCTCGTGTTTTAAAACTCGGTTCAGTTATCGACTCGATCGAAGTACTGAGTTATTGGTTTAATCCATGAGTCATTAGTTCAATTGATTAAATTAAATTTATATTTAATTATATAATAAATATATAATAAGGTGTGTTTTGCCCAACAATTAAGGATAATATAGTAGTAAGTGACAATACTATTTACTTAAGTTTGATTTTCAACCATCATAAAAAATGAAATATTTTGTTCAACTACATAACCATCCAATAATTAGCTTGAACTGGTGTCTTTATCAGGTTACCGAAACTCGAACCATTCCGATCCAGATTTTAAAACACTGATCTTGACCCACTTACTATGAGCTAGTTCCCCTCCATGGCTCCATTGATATCGGTAAGATGCTTACATGGTCGGTGTTTGACATTTTTAATGTGCCATTGATGCTTACATGCATGGATCATTCTTCCATTTCGGGTGACAATTAGGGATGGGTTTATAATATTTAGAATTTTGGTGATTTATGATGTAGAAGTTGGGGTTTGAAGATGTTTTGATTGATGGTAATGTTTTTTTTTTTTTTGTAATAAGATTGATGGTAATGTTTGAGTGTGTTGACTTTTGACGTTTTGTTTTGAAATATTTATAGGTTATATGATCAAAAAAAAAGGGGGGGGGGGGGGGGGGGGGGGGGGGGGGGGGGTCAAAAATCCAGTTACCTTAATCAAAGCAATCAAATAGTCAAATACTATTCACTATTCTGTTCGCTAACTAAATGCTTTTGTAAAATAAAACCCAATTCAACCTAACCCCAAAATCAAGTTAATTCACTTGGGCCTAGTTTAGTCCCAACTTCGACGCAACTCGACTTTATGCAGCCTTAATTAAAAATGAATACATGTCTAATTTTGAGGATCACAAATTACTTATTGTTGAACCCGACCACCTTGAACATAAACACAAATAAATAAAATCTATGTCATACTTAATTAAATGAAATGTAAAAATTATCTAATTAAAAATTTGAGACACATAAACAAATATTAAAAATAAATTTTTTTTTATAATAATTTAAATTTACGATCTCATACTACGTAAATCGCTAATCAATATACCAATTCTAATGGCTTAAAAAAAACACATGACTTAAAAACATGAACTTTTAAGAGTATAACGTTTATCATACTTCATTAAGTTATAATCAATCACATAAAAAATAAAATATTAAATATATATTTTTTCAGACCTTTAACACACTCATAAAATAAAAGAACAAGGGCATTTCATTCAATTCGAACAAGGGTCGCACGCAGCTGCAATTTTGTTTGTCCAAATGCTCAATTTTCGGTTCTCAGTTTCCCACTTCGTCCCTGTTTCTCTCTCATCCAACAATAAGTCAATCGCAACGTCGCAGACCATTCTATTCTCAGCGAAATTGATTCTCAGCAACACGCTAGATTTGCTCCGAGTGTTTCGAATTCGATCTTCTATTCTTTAAAATATTAGAAACTGTTTCATTCAATGGATCCATCATCACTTCACCAAAACGATGCTTCTTCTTCATCTCCCCCTCATTCTTACACTCACCAACTCACTTTCGATCACCCTTCCTCTTCCGACGACGACGACAACGACGACGTTTCATCCTCCAATTCCATCCAATCCACTAACAGACGCCTCGATTACATGCTCCAATTCCTCGACCGCAAGCTCTCCATCGACCACCACCATCAGCCCTCGGTTTCTCGTCCATCGTCGTTGCCGGAGTTCGTCGCCAAAGGAGGAGGCACCGGCATCTTCAGAGTCCCCGTTCGTGCGGCGGTCCACCCGGCGCGGCCTCCGAGTCTCGAATTGAGGCCGCACCCTCTGCGGGAGACTCAGATTGGGCGTTTCCTGAGGAACATTGCCGCCACCGAGTCGCAGCTGTGGGCCGCCTCCGAGTGCGGCGTCCGGTTCTGGAATTTTAAGGATCTCTACGCGTCCTTCGGAGAAGAAAGCGCTGTGAGGAGCGGTGACGAAGAGAGTGCGCCGTTTTCGGAGTCGGTGTGGACTTCCCCTGCACTGTGTTTGGTTTCCGATGAAGGGAACAGATTGGTGTGGAGTGGACATAAGGATGGGAAGATTAGGTGTTGGCACATGGATCATCATCACAGTTTGGATTTGGATAATAACAACTCCACGAATCACTTTAAGGAAAGCTTGTCTTGGCAAGCTCATCGCGGCCCTGTTCTTTCCCTTACCTTCACCTCTTATGGTTATCCTTCATTCTTCAATATTGACTTTACTGCTTTGCTATTATTGTACTTTGGAATTTTGATTATAAGCTATTTTAAATACAAAATAATCTTATCCTAACTAGTCAGTGTTACTTGGGATGTTAAGTTTATGAAAGTTTTAGTTTAGTTATTTAGGTTACTAGTACTGTTAATATGAAAGAAATTCTGATAAATTGGCGGTGGGACTTGTTGTTCATTGGTTGATTCACGTGCTTGTTGTGAATGTGATACATTGTTATCCCTTTTTCCTTTATTGTGTTAATCCAGGGGATCTGTGGTCGGGTTCAGAAGGAGGAGCTATAAAGATATGGCCTTGGGAGGCTATTGAAAAATCTATCCTTCTGACGAAGGAGGAAAGGCACATGGCTGCCATAACGGCAGAGAGGTCCTATGTTGATTTGAGAAGCCAGCTATCTACAAATGGCTTCAGTAACATGCTAACTTCAGATGTAAAGTACTTAGTATCTGATAATACAAGAGCGAAGGTGTGGAGTGCTGGCTATTTTTCATTTGCTTTGTGGTAAGATTTACACTTATAGTCTCTCTCGGCTGGTGTTTGTATTGAGCATTAATTAGTATGGACGATTTTTTTATATTTAGGCTTTGTAATATAATCCATAATTCATAATTTTTCCTATCTTGTGGTCACCACTTATGTTTTGTAGAAAGGTAGTGACTCTATATTCTATTATTTTAGAAAGATAGCAAATGTATATATTGCTAGTATATTGTTATACTGTGAACAGTGCCACTGCCTGCACAATCCCTTTTTAATTTATACAGAGATATGCTTGTAAATTTCTTTCCAAGTGTTAACTATTTATTATTTTTCCACTAAGGATGTGAAATTTCAAAATTTTGGGATTATTACAAGTTAGCAATGTTCAAAGAAGGATTAGTCTGTAACCACTTGTTGACTTAATAAACCACGAGTAAGTCAAGTGGTTCATAGTACAAAGTTTGATCCTATGAACTTAATAAATGATGAGTAATCTCTACGACCAAATTGAATGATTTGGAGTTTGATCCTTGTTGATCTTATTTTCATAATTAAGTTAAATTTCAGCTCTAGGTAAATTGGGAAATCATGTACATTGTCTACGCTTCAAACCCAAAGAGCTTTTGCATGACACATGTGATGTAGAATGGAGAAGCATATTTAAGGATTATTGTGTTATTTAGGAATTATTATGTTATCCTTAGACATTTTAGAAATTGTCTTATTCAAGAGATCTTTCATTATTTTTAGGGATTTTACCTTTAATAAGTTATATTTTCTTAGGAAAATATCATCGTATTAAGATTTCCTATTCAATTTGGTTCAGTTTGGATTTCATATTTAGGAAATTAATTTTGGTTAGGATTTATTTAGAATTTTTATTATTTTTTTGGGTTGTAAATACCCTTTAGGTGCCTTATGTTTTTTGCATAACTACAGAATATTGAAATTTTCCTTTTCCTCATAGAGTATTTGAAACCCTAGTCAAGGGAGTAGTCTTCCTTATAGGAGTACTCTAGGGTTATTGTTCTAGTTAGAGAAATATTATTTCTTAGAGGAGTACTCTGGGTTTATTGTTCTACATCAAATTCTGAAATTTCTAAGAATAATATAATAATCCCTAAACAACATAATAATTTCAAATATGCTGCTTCATTCTGCATCGACATGTGTGTTAGACCATTCTGTCATCCATCTAACAACTTGAGCTTCAAAGAGAGTTGCTTCTTAACCTGATATGTGAAATTCAAATTTCTTTAGTTTATATGTTTTGATGTCTTTTAATTAGATTTTGGCAGAGCGGCCAAAATATATTTGGATCACCATTATATATATATATATATATATATATATATATATATATATTTATGGGAATAATCATCTTACGCCGGTGTAAGAAAAACAAGTCTTAGACCAAATCTTAAAGGCTCTAATTTATTAGTCACATGGACAGTTAGATATAAGTGGAATCACGGGAAAAGATTAAGAGTGCAATTTATACCGGTGTAAAATGATCACGTCCCTCTCTCTCTCTCCTATGATTTCCATTACTTGTTTCTTTTTCTCACTTAAAATGACACACATTTATGTCCTTTAAAAGGGCAAACATCAAACCCATATATATATATATATATAAGGGAATGATCAACTTTATATATATATATATATATATATATATATATATATAGTGTTAGATATTTTTAAGTTCTTTAAATTTGTATATGGTGCCTAATCCTGAATCCTGTATATCTTGTTTTATTCTGATGCATGCTTCCTTGGTGGTGTCCTATGTGCATGAGATGTATAAAGAGATCATGAGACTTCATTGTCATTTGATCCTTACTCTTTTCTCTATGCATAGCACTGTTCATCATGTCTGTCTGTCTGTGTATTTATACCTGTCAATTTAATGTATGCCAATGCTTGTTAATGTACAGGGATGCTCGTACAAGAGAGTTGCTGAAAGTTTTCAATGCAGATGGTCAGATTGAGAATCGATTGGACTTGCCCCCAATACAAGACTTTTCAGTTGAGTTTGTTTCAAGTTCTAAGAAAGACAAAACACAAAGCTCTATGGGGTTCTTACAACGCTCACGTAATGCCATAATGGGGGCAGCAGATGCTGTTCGTCGAGTTGCAGCAAAGGGAACCTTCGGGGATGATAATCGGAGAACTGAAGCCCTTGTGGGAACAATAGATGGAATGATTTGGACAGGGTATTCAAGTGGCTTACTGGTGCAGTGGGATGGAAATGGCAATCGCATACAAGAATTTGTTTACCATCCATTTGCTGTTCAGTGTTTTTGTACTTTTGGAATGCAAATTTGGGTAGGTTACGTGACTGGTACTGTCCAGGTATTGGACCTCAAGGGTAATCTGATTGGGGGATGGGTGGCTCATAGCAGTCCAATTGTAAAAATGACGGTTGGAGCTGGTTACATATTCACATTGGCTAGCCATGGTGGCATACGTGGATGGAACATCACCTCCCCGGGACCTCTTGATAGCATATTGTGTTCAAAACTGGGTGGAAAAGAATTTTTATATACTAAAATAGAAAATATAAAAATATTGAGTGGCACTTGGAATGTTGGACAAGGAAAAGCTTCTCAAGATTCCCTTACTTCATGGCTAGGTTCTGTGGTCTCAGATGTTGGCCTTGTTGTTGTTGGGTTGCAAGAGGTTGAAATGGGTGCTGGATTTCTTGCAATGTCTGCAGCTAAAGAGACTGTAAGTTATCATTTTCTGTAATAATACTCGAAAATTAGTGCATCTATGTTATCATCAGACAACTTTATTAGTGGTTAGCAAAGAAATGCTGTGTAACTCTTTAAAGTTAGGAATAATATATAATTTGTCTTTTTTGTCATAAGATTTAACTTCTAATACTTTTGAATTTATTAAATACTTGTGGGATATCTGTTTGGCAGTTATAGTTGATAGCTTGCAAGCATAGTTCTATTATCTATTATATTATCACCTCTTTGGTTAATTGAATGGCTTTTGCGGAAACGGGATTGGAATTGAGAAAGTGAAAGGAACAAAACTGAATGGAATGGCTTGCAAACATATATCATTTCTATTTTCTTCTTTTGTATGGTTAGGAATGGAATGGTGATATCATGTCATGTCTTCAATTGGTATCTGGAATCAAGTAGGAATGAAATCAAAGAACAATTTAATCACTGTAATACCCTTGATCTAAAATTTTCTTTAAAGCTTTTAGTTTATAAAATTATCATAGTTACTGTCATAATTACACTTTGAGAAAGGCTGACTTCATACGTCATTGTTTTTCATTTTTGAATTTTTTAGCTTTTACTTCCAATAATTTCCTGTTAGATTATATTTAGAGGGAAAAAAGGTAAGAATACAGGTCTCCACCAAGGCCAAGTGATCTACGCCTCTATGTCTGCTGGCTTGCCTTTATCATACAATCTTCATACTTTCAAGTTTGAGCACACCAATGAGTCCATCATGTCCTTTAAGATGACTCAAGTACAAAATCAACATGGTCATTACAAAAATTGAAGAGAAAAAGAGTGATGGGGAAGGAGGGAGGGGGGAGAGAAGGAGAGTGGGGATCGTGTGAAATCATTTGCAGTCAGAGCTGCAATGACAGGAAGTGGTTTAGAATGGGAGACACGTAGGAACTAGCAGGCTATGGCATTATCTCGTAGTGATTTGAAAATTTTAATTTTTCAGGTGTTTTAGAAATTAAGAATATTTTTCTTATTATAGGGAAAAAATAAGGACAAAATACTTGTGGGACATTTATCTTCCGTAACTCTTAAATTTTTATCATTTATCTCCCTTGGTTAAAATTTCAAGAAACTATCCAATGAGATTGTTGCAGCCTATGTCTCCAAGCTCAATGATACATATTAGGTCACAACCACCATTCACTGCAAATGATTCTGTCCAATTATGCTGCATTAAATTCCTGCTTTTAAATCCCAAATCCTGTATCGATTCTTCTACTTGTTATCCTGTGCTTCCCCATTCTATAATTCATCCAATTGATCTTAAATCTAAAATTTCTATAAGGCACTAAGGAATGGTTGGAGAGTTTCCTGGATTGATCTATTATAATAGAGGTGAACACTAAAATGATTATGAATGTCTCTTGTGTTGAGTCTGTCATGCTATTAACATACAGAAAATGAGGACAGACTCTGTTGTGATATTTGTTCAATGGAAATTTTACGGATGGCTTAATTTTTCAAGTGTAATTGTCAGAATCCTGTTGTGACAGTCATTATTTTGTTATGTATATGTGTGTGTGTGTGTGTATAATGAGTATAACTAATAGTTTTGCCTAACTTTTCTTGTTCATAATCCTCCTCTAACCCCCATCGCACAAAAACAAATAGGTAGGACTGGAGGGAAGTTCTGCTGGGCAGTGGTGGCTGGATATGATAGACAAAACATTAGATGAAGGTTCAACATTTGAACGTATTGGATCCAGGCAACTTGCTGGCTTGGTCATTGCTGTGTGGTGAGTATCTATGAGGAGGAATACATGTGAGCTGGTGAAGCCTTTAATATGTCAGAAATAATGGGTGTTGTTTGTTATATAAGGCAATATGATGGCTGTTACACTTTAGCAATTTGAATATATATTGGTCTGTTAAGCTGGTTGTGTCCATTATGTATGATTATCGTCTGCTTTCCCTTGCTACTTGTTATAAATGCTATTTTGGTTTGAAATATTTGGATATCGATCTCTAAAGGTTTGGTTCCTAATTATATCCTAAAATGAAATATCTACTAATGTCCTCATTCTATTTGAATGTATGTCATTGTTATCTAAATTCTTTTCCCTTGCTGGTCTCTTCATCTATAGTAGTTGAATTTTTCTTCTTCAGGGTTAAAACCAACATCAGATTTCATGTTGGAGATGTTGATGTGGCAGCAGTTCCATGTGGCTTTGGGCGTGCTATTGGCAATAAGGTAGGCCTGCAGTAGCTTCTTTGCTGTTTTGCTTTGTATATTTGTTTCACTTAGTTTCTCCTTGCTTCAATATGGCAGCTGACATGCCATATGCCATGGATGCCACAGCTAAGATGGGGCCACTTGAACCACCACACGTCGGTGGTTCTATGGCTGTGACTCCCAAAAATGCCATGCCATAGCTGCGCTATTGGCAACACTAGTACTCTGTTCTGTATGTGTAGTGTGGAAACTAATGTGCTTTTTCCTGGAAACTATTTTACCTTTAAGGAATCATCTTTTTGTGTAAGTTTTTGTTATTCTGACCGTTGATTGACAAGGGAAAATGTTGTCTAACCAGGGAGCTGTTGGTTTGAGGATTAGAGTATATGATCGGATAATGTGCTTTGTTAACTGTCACTTTGCTGCACATTTAGATGCAGTTGGTCGTCGCAATGCAGATTTTGATTATGTATACCGAACAATGTCCTTCAGCCGGCCAACAAACCTCTTAAATGCTGCAACTGGTATCTTGCTCTACACATTCCTTTTTTTCTCACTTGCCTTATCCATGTATTTATCTTGGCCTGTTTATAGATCTGGCTTGCCATTGGTGCTTTCTGTTGCAGCTGGCACTTCATCTTCTGTTCCGATATTTCGTGGTACAAATGTATGTACATGCTGCCACTTTATTCTTTTAAGTAATTCATTATGCACTCAGACAGTTGGTGGAGCATTGATTCTTGCGATTGGTTTCTAGTCTGCAGAAGGGATGCCCGAGTTATCTGAGGCAGACATGGTTGTATTTCTTGGTGATTTTAATTATCGTCTTGATGACATTTCATATGATGAAGCAAGAGATTTTGTTTCTCAAAGATGCTTTGATTGGCTTAGAGAAAGGGATCAGCTTCGAGTAGAAATGGGAACTGGGAATGTGTTCCAAGGAATGCGTGAAGCAATTATAACATTTCCTCCCACATACAAGTTTGAACGGCACCAAGCTGGTTTGGCAGGTTTGTTCCCCCCTCCCAGACACACACACACATATAAATGGTCACTGAACTTGAATGAAAACTTTATCACAAAGAGAGAGGGAAATGATAGTGAAGTGTAAAACACTTGGCTTGGTTTGTTTCATTTCTTCTCTATTCATGGCTTGGAAATGGAGTATTTTTGCAAATCATGCCGCTCAATCACCAAGATTTTTCATTTGTAGACCAATAACATGCACAGGTAACAGTGTAGGAGAGGGATGTTTACTAAGTCACAAATTTCAATGACACCTCATAAATAATGATTTTCTCAGTTATCTTCATGGATGGCTTTATATGAATTGTTGAAATTGTAGGGTTTAGATTGGGAAGAGGAAGAAAGGATAATAGAGATTCTGAATAATAGGATTTAATTTTTCATCCTTTTGGGTGCTTGTAACTTCTACGGTCTTTCTCTATAATCAGAATTTGAAAGGTGATTCATCGCAAGTTTGAATCACTGCTGTTTATATTTGAATTCTCTGACATCAGTAATGCTTCTTCAAGGGTTATGACTTCAGAATTTTATGAAATGTTTCTTTTAAGGGTATGATTCTGGCGAAAAGAAACGCGTCCCTGCTTGGTGTGACAGAATTTTGTATCGTGATAGTCGCTCTTCGGTGGTGGCTGAATGCAGTTTAGAGTGTCCTGTTGTCTCTTCGGTATTGCAGTGAGTGTTCTAGTTTTTGTATTTATTGCCATTTGAATATATGGATTAACACCCTGCAAAGAAGGACTTTGTACATATTGCCCTAGATAAGTCTGATTTTACTTGGCATGTTGTGCTTAACTATCGTGAGTGGAGCCACTGTCTTTTTTCTTTCAACTGTTGTCTTAATTATTTTCATCTCACCTTCAATAGGTACGAAGCCTGCATGGATGTCACAGATAGTGACCACAAGCCTGTACGCTGCATATTTTCTACAGATATTGCTCGAGTAGATGAGTCAATCCGGAGACAGGAGTTTGGAGAGATTCTTGAGTCAAATGAGAAAATTAAACGTCTTCTCAAAGAATTATGCAAGATTCCTGAAACTATCATTAGTACAAACAACATAATTCTTCAAAACCAGGACACATTAATTTTGCGTATTACAAATAAATGTGCAGAAGACAATGCTTTGTTTGAAATAATTTGTGAAGGTCAGTCTACTGTTATGGAGGACCAGAAGGCATCTAACCATCAGTTGAGAGGTTCCTTTGGCTTGCCAAGGTGGCTTGAGGTGATATTCTTTATTTAAAATGAATTTCATTTTTATACTATAGTTGTGACCGCAATGGTAAAATTGTTTCTGACTGTAAAGTCACGGGTTCGAATAGCCTCTTTGCAAAAAAGTGTAAAGATAAGGCTGCGTACAAAGATTTTCCTTATCCTCACAAATTGGGGGTTTCATAGGGAGTGCTTTAATATATATATAGGGGTTTACATTTCTGCAGCTGCTGTACGTGCAGTAATCAAATACTTGGCATATATATACTTAAAAGTATTAAATGCGGGGAATCATAACCATACAAATGATGAAAGCATTAAATGTGGGAAATCATAACCATACACCTGTTGTTGTTGTTGTATGTAAAGTGGCTGCAGAAATGATTTTACCATATATATATATATATATGAGAAAAATGTTTCTGCAGTTACTGCAGATAACTTATCTGCATTTATACCCAAAACGACGTCGTTTTGGTATTGAAATCTTAGAAAATTATAAATATAAAGACTATTATAACCCTGAAATAAATTAAAATTACAAAAATACCATGATTTCTGCCCCAAAACGACGTCGTATTGGGCTAACTGCAGATAAGTTATTTGCAGTAACTGCAGAAAAAACGAACCCTATATATATATTCTTTCTATTACTGTATACTTCTATTTATTAAAAAAAAAAAAGTTACAGGAGCAAGATGGCCACTGTGCCAAAGTTTGCTTTTATTCATATGTTGGCATACTTCTATATATATTGATTCTGAAGGGTAAATATATGATTCAAATAAATGATAATTATATTTAGATATTTAAAATTTCTGTTACGTTGAAAAATATTTAAACTCTAAATTATTCAAAATTTTATCTGTTCTAATATTGAAAAGTTAAGAGGGCTAGTCTGGAGTAGTGGTAAAACTGTTCCTTTGTGACTCAAAGATCACGGGTTCGAATCCAGGACACAGTCTCTTTGATAATATGCAAAGGTAAGGCTGCGTACAAAGATTTCTCTCACCCCTACCCTCGCTAGTTGGGGTTTAATGGGGAGTGGTTTTTTAATATTGAAAAGTTATACAATATGGTATTTATATTAAATATTAATTGAGAATATATTAAGACGAGACCTATTTATTTTGGTGTTATGCCAAGAAGGTCAACCATGACGGCTATGCATATCTATTGCAAGGTTTGATGGAAAGATACAGTTAAAAAAAAGCCTTCAGAGATATCCATCTTAAAAAGTGATGGAAGATTAATGAGGATGTCACGCATTGGATAGTGGATAAATTGGAGAAACAGTTCAGGTATAAATTTTTGAAGGCAAATATTATCAGATGGCTATAAGATCAGAAAAGCTCTGGTTGAAAATGTTGGGTAGTGAAGTTCCAACAAGTGCAAAATGTTAGTGTAGTGGATGTAAGAATGCTGAGGTGGAGGAGTGGGCAAAAGAAGATTAGAAATAAATATATCCGGGAGAAAGTTGGAATAGAACATATTCAGGACAAGATGACATAAACTTGGCTAAGGTGTTTTGGACATTTAAGAAGACCAATAGAGGTTCTAGTGTGAAAAGTGGTTCAAATGGAAAATAGTCTTATTAAAAGAGGTAGAGGAACATGGCCTAAGAAGCTTTAGGAGAAACCATTAAAAGAGACTTTGTTTTAAATGGTTTTACTGAAAATTTCGTTTTTGATAGAGCTGAATGGCATTTATTGATCCTTATAGCCGAATCGACGTAGTGGGATAAGGTTTGGTTCTTGTTGTTGTCATTGTATTAGATAAACGGGATAAGAAGATAGTTGTTCCATCTCAAGGAAAATTATGGATGATTTCTGCCAAAGAACTCCAAAAGTATTTAGTTGATAACAATTTTTTTTCTCATCGGTACATTATTATTGAGTTAGAGAAGCAATAACAACCCCGAGTTAGTCATATTGAAAAGGTTTTTTCTGTACCTGTTGCAAGTTTTAAATTTTATTTATAGTAAGTTGAAACATCAACCTAATTATTCTTTCATGAAATAAAGGAATGCAACCCTTTCTAAAACTAAAATGCAGACTTGGGAGCACACCAAGTTTGTGAGTTTAGTCCGGAGACCCTGACCCAAGTAACTGGACAGTGTTTTTGCTATCACAGGTGGATGATTTTTTCTTTTTCCTTTTCTTTTTCATAGAGTCAGTGTGAAAGATCAAAGTTTTAAATTGTGGTTGCGGTTGCCTAGCAGACGCAGTCATGTTGCTGGCCAATTGAATCTGCGACTGCAATGTGATGCAGTTGCAGCAGCATTGCAACCAAGATGTTACAGCCGGATTATGTGATGGGGTCTATAATTTAAGTACCTGCGAAAGACAATCAAAGTCTCCCCTAGAAAATTAGTCCAAGAGCAGAGTTTTTTTTTTATTGTTTATTTATGTGGATCAACATTAAACATTTGTTTACCTCAGACAAGGCATCTCTCCTTTGCAATGCATCATATGGTAATGACATGCACTTTTTATGATTCAGGTAAGTCCTGCCACTGGTATAATAAGACCTGACCAGATTGTTGAGGTATCAGTGCATCATGAGGAATTTCCGACACTGGTAGAGTTTGTTGATGGTGTTGTACAAAACGCTTGGTGTGAAGACTCCAGAGACAAGGAAGCTATTTTGATTGTTAAGGTGCATGGCAATTACAGTATCCAGACAAGAAATCACCGAGTCCGTGTTCACCACTGTTATTCAACCAAGAAAAATCAAGTGATAGATCCTGAACCAAACGGCTCCAGGCATATGCAAGGAAGTGTGTTACACCGATCTGATTTCCAACGTTTCAGCAGTTCCAGTGATGTAGTTGATCAGCTACAGAAATTGCATAGCCCTTAGAGCTACAGTTCATGTGAGTGCTTATAACAATTTATTTTTAATGTTTTCGGTGGAAGAGCAATAAATTGGTAGCTGGTCTTGGAATAGACTAGAAGTCCTTGTTTATACTTGTTATAATTTTATAAGCATCTTGATTATGTTTGGTAATGGCTTGTTTTCTTTTCACAGGGAGCTTGTGGCGCAACTTGTAATCATCAAGCTTATTGAACTGTAGAGAGGAAAAGCAAATACAATGCAAACAAGAAGCGAAACAGCTTTTTTTAGATCCATTATTTAATTTATTCAGAAATGAACCCAATTTGTTCTGTAAGTGTAAATGACTATATATATCAAACAACACAAGCTGCAATTGAAAGGCAGTGACCTGTTGTTACTGCAGCTGAAGCTGCTATTGTGAGTTTGTCTTTTGGACGATGGTTGTTTCTAACAACTATTTTGATACTTTCTAGCTTCCACTATCACGTTATTTGCCTGGAATTTTGTGTTCTTGAAGTCCATTTTGTTAATCAACTTCCCGTAACATGTGACCTTAGCCAAATATAATTACATATTAAAGGAGGATGGATTGTTCCTGAAAAAAAATCGGAACTTCTTCTTTAGCAACATATATAAAGTTCAAATCTTTGAGCAGTAAAAAAAATAGATATAAGAAAATTGAATTAATTACACTCTTCTTCTCGTACATATGCTTAAATTACAATATCACTCCCTTCTATCGTAAAGATTTACGCGCTCCTTTTTATGAATTGGATTTTTAATTCATTTGTACATGTAATCAAATTTTTTAATGATGATAAACAATTTTAAACGAGCCTAAGAATATTTTTCCTTTTCCTCGTCGAAAGCAAATTATAAACATACAACCAAAGATTTTCGGACTTCTAAAAATTAAATAAAATTTTAAATCTCTTACTGTCGATTTTTGAATTTCACCCAAAATTTTCACTTCATCGATAGTAAAGGTTTAAAATTAACCTCTTAAATGACTTGGGTGTGTGGGAAGAGAAAAAATATCCCCCCCGACTTGTTCACATTAAAATAAAGTACAAAGTAATTTTCAAGGGAGGAATACATAAATTTTTTAAATTAACGGGAGGATAATGTCATTTAAGCATCTTTCAAAGAAATGGAACATAATTTACTCGAGATAATTATTTGAGTTATTGATGGAGCTTGCCGAAAATATAAATTTTGAAAGATAATTAAAAAGTTTTATGTTAAAATAGTAGAAATAAATATATGAATAATTTTGTGATTTTTTAAGCATATATGTAGAAGAATTTTTAGCCATTTTGGTAATCCCTTCTCATTCTGAGTAACCCAATGCTATTTTTCCTGTCTATTTTTTTTCTTGGTGGTGTTCTTATAAATAATGAAATAGTTGCCCTGCTTTATTATTATTATTACTATTTGAAGAAGGTTATACTTACAACCTATTTTTGTTTATAACTTCTCACAATCATATTTTAACCGTTGATTTCCGTCAATTAACAGTTATCATTTATTACGAATTAATAATTAATTAATGAGTTTGATTAGCGAAAATAATAACCGTTAATTGACGGAAATCAACAGTTAAAATATAAGATATTGTAAATAAAAATAGGTTGTAAATGTAATCTTCTTCCTACTATTTATTTCAGAAACAATTTTCCATTGCATTGACAAGTTCAACTCCAAAATCTCGTTCAGTGAACATTAAAAGATAAATCTACAGTATGAGTGGTATTTTCACATTGGTTGAATAATTATAATAAAAAGTTTGAAGCCAACAAGTATCAAACCTAAGACGAACAACAACCCTTTTTCGACTCGGCATCTGCTTCTCGGTCCCCTTCCCCTTCCCCTTGTAGAACAACAGTTTTCCCATTTTCAATACGGGCAGCATCCTCTTTCTTGAGCTCTTGAGACATCATCACCTTCCTGCTTAATATGTTGTAGATCTCTTTTACAACTGTTTGAAAAGCAGCTGCTACATTTGATGAATCAAGAGCTGATGTTTCCATGAAGAACAAACCCTGTGCCTCAGCTAAGGCCTTCCCTTCAGCAGTAGACACCTCTCTCGCATCCTTAAGATCTGACTTGTTCCCAACAAGTATTGTGACAACGTTCATGTCAGAGTGAGCTGTTAAATAATACAACCAATCCAATTAATCCTCGTTTCATCCCATTCAAAACCAAAATATGTGAGTATACAAACCAGTCACCTATTACTAATTAATATTAAACCTAGTTTATTAAAAGGTATATACTTATGCATGTATGTATATATATTAAAAGAATAAAGAGAAGACTAACATAAATATTCAGAAGTTCAAAAGCAGAAAAGAGAAAAACTATCCAATTACCTACAATGAACATATGCAATTCAGAATTTAGCTTCCGCACAATACACACAATAATATAATGTTTCATGAAGACATGAACTTACAAAATAAAATCACCTTAACAGAAAGAATAAAGACTATATAATCTTGTTCATTTTTATATAGGACCATTTAAGTGCCAAACGGTCATTAAATTTTTGTATCATAAATGTTTTACTATACTGTACCAATACCAAATTGAAAGCCAAGTTAACAATTTCCTAAATGAGAAAAGGTTGGATGAAATGGCGCGTGCATTACGATTTTTGTGTGATCGCAAAATCTTCGGTTTTCGTATTACAGATCTTGGTTTGTGCTTTATGGCATTTCCACTATAAAAAAATTCCAATCCCGCAAAGGATGATTCATGGAACTACTATTGAGCTTAAGACCATATTTCCTAGTATCATCCCAATGTTCAAATTTTTTATAAAACAACACTAAGGATTGCAATATTATAAAATTGGAGCAGCAAAAATGAGGATATTAAAGTGGATCTATGGTCATACAAGGTTGGATAAAATAAGAAATGAAGAGATTGAATGAAAAGTAAAAGTAATCTGGTGGTTTAAAGGATAAGAGACCATAAATTGAGATGATTTAAGCATATTCTTAGAAAACCTCTATATGGTCTCGTAAGAACATAGTTTGTTACCAAGAGTATGATATAAAGACAGAAAGAGGTTGGCCGGAATTTACTTGGGGAAAGTAATAAAACAAGACTTGTTAAAGTGAAAAATACATCAGAGTTCAATTTATCTAAGGACAGAGCGGAGAAAAGCTATTAACATTCTAGGGGGATAGACACAATATTTTCTATGTTCCAAATGACCTTTTGTATTCATTTTTCTCTATATTTATTTATTTATTTATTTATTCTCTGTTATTTATTTTTCTTTTCCTTCAATCTTTTCTTGTTTATTTAGGTTCATTGATTGCCGACCCAATTAATTTGGAATAATGGTGATTTTCATGTTAAGCAACCTCATAAGGAGAAAATGCATGAGAAGAACTTCATGGTAAAGAAGATATAATTGTAATTCTTACTCTGAAGTTCGTTAAGCCATCGGCCAATGCTATGAAACGTTTGGAGCCTGCTAATGTCATAGACCAGAAGTGCTCCAACTGCACCCCTATAATATGCAGATGTAACGGCTCTGAACCTCTCCTGCCCAGCTGTGTCCCATATTTGTGCTTTAACTTCCTTTCCATTAATATCCATTTTCTGAGTTTGGAACTCTACTCCTATAGTTGATTTTGAATTAGGATAAAACTCATCCCTGGCAAATCTTGCAAGTAAATTTGATTTCCCAACAGCTGAATCACCAACTAAAACAATCTTGAAAAGGTAATCCTCAGTCTTCTCTTCCTCATTATAAAGAGCCATCTGTCAGTCCTAAGGATTGCCAGTGTGAAGAAACAAATTCAAAAATGAATAATCATCATGGACTCTGGTCCTTTCCAATATTAGAATGTCACCTAAGAATAGAAAACGGATCAGAAAACACAAGAACTGTTAACAAAGAAATCTGGAAGACAGAACGGTTATATAAAGACACAAATTGCAGTTCCACAAGAATCCGAAGATATATCTACCTCACGAAGCAACTGTTGTCTGTTTCTAGCATACAGAACTGTATCCACCATCAGCATCCAGCCCCTTAAACAAACCAAAACTTCCCGGAGTACCTGAAAGCATCAGATTCCAATATAAACCAGAGATTCAATGGAGTATCATAACCAAGAGGGAAGAAGAAGAAGAAGAAGCATTTGCAAAGGAGCAGATAATTCTATGACTTTTGTCCAAGCTAGAGCATTCCCGATGGTAAAATATTTCAAGTTCTTCTTCCATAATTGTTTCTCAAGAAAAAGAAATGCCACTACAAGTGAAAATCAAATTAAAATGATAACCTTGCCCAAAGATACATGAAATTCATTTCCGTAAATGGTTACAATTGCCACCAATAAACTACACATCTAGCAACACAACCAGCAAGCTGACAGAGGATGGGTAAGTTTACAAAATCAGAAGTCTCGTCCCTGAGTGCCAGAACGTAACTAATTCATGATGACAATTGAACTGTACCATGATTTAAGACAGGTCAACAGAACCACAAAATTTTGAGCCCTTTTAATTTCAGAGATGAAAGAAGTATATCAGAAAGAAGCATAAAAAATTTCAAATTTCATTCTTTGACCAAAAAATCTAAAAAAAAACCCTGGTTCCAGAAGAAAGGTACATAGTTCCCCTTAGCGTTGCCCTTTTTTTCTCTGGCATGTGGATAAGGCCAAAAATTGTTATTGTAGGACTTAGCATCCAAGGGTTCGTTGTGTGCATTCCCACCTGGGGTTTGGCGTATGGGAAAAAAAACTAGAAAAACATGAAAAAGGATGAGCAACAGTATTAGAGAAACAAAGTCATCAATACAGTTAACCCCTTTGTATATCTGTTAAGGATAGGGACAATGGACCAAATGCCAAAGAAAGGCCATAAAAAAATCCTGTCTCATGCCAAATCTAAGGACAGACAAATTCTTGAAAGAAGTTTAATCAACTCATATAAACCAAAAAGTGGCACAGATAGCACAAATAACCACGTTATCAATGAAACAACCATTTTTTATAGTTATAACAAACAATGTCCTCTAATGTTCACAAAACCTTTTCTTCTTCATCTTTTAAAGTTATTTTCCAATGTAAAGTGATCCCCACGTAGCATATTGAAACAAACCACCACCAACTAACTAACTACACAACTTCTCTCGTATCTTTGAGCATTTGAAGCCGGGAGCTGTACCCCTCTTAAAAACCTTTTCCAAAAAGGTCCTCATCTCATGATATAAAATCAACAGACAGATTTACATTATTACCATGTCCATAGACTGACTATAAATACATCTAAATGTAAACACCAAAAAGGTTAGTAAATGAAGGAGACAAAGGGGAATCTCTTACAAAACTCAGATAAAGATATTAACATTAGTGAACGGAGCAGACAATGTCAATCAGCATTCATCTCCTTCCAAAATCTGTCTCCGAAACACATGCAAAGTCAGATAACCAGATTTTTTTTTTGACAGAATGAGGAGACATACTAATTGACTCTTGGATGAATGAGTGATCCCAACAAAAACCCTCAAATCTAACTTACTTCGGTCAAAATTATAGCAAATTTTGTCTAGCTGTATCGAACTACTCTAAACAAAAAGAATGAACTATAAAATATGGGTTCAGGTAACCATTCATTATCATATTTTATGTCAATTTTTAAAATAAAAATGAGCTAGTCACCATAACATATGACATGAATATTTTCTGCCAAAATCAGAATTCGAAAAAATACACCTGCATATAAATACCAAACCCTGTGATCAAGTCTGAAGATGATGATATTGCTAAACTCTAATTTACCCAAGCAGTCACAGATAAAGACGTAAATGAAGAACAGGTACATCGAACTATTACATTACGCGTGCTTGCAACAAGTTAGGCAAGTACAAAATAAATTATAGCAATAAAAAAAGCTAAATCCACTTCGAAAAAGTTTGCAAATGTAAACAGAAATTTTACCAGATACATTAAATCAATCAAATTAGAGGTATAAAACATGAACCAGAGAGGGGGGGAATGAAAAAGGAAAAGAAAAAAAAAAAGGAAATTCTACAGCGAAAACAACCATATAGGCAATAGCTTAGAATACGTAATATATATACCTATGATTGAAGAGGAGGAGGACAGAGGATTAATAGCGAAGGAGAATTGGGTAAAAATCGTGGACGCCGAAGCCAGAAAGAAATTGCAACAACAGAGAGAGAGAGAGAGAGAGAGAGAGAGAGAGGATCTACCGTTCCTGGGGCGAATGGGTGTGTTATTTTGGTAAAACTGGTTACCCCCAACTGTTTCAATTCTTCTTCTTCTTCTTCTTTTTTAAGTAAATTAGTAATAGTTTTATTACAGATATATATTTTTAGAAAAGCAGTGACCTGTGTTTTCAAAAAATGTGACTTTTTTCTTGGCTTTTTATCTATTTGATCAAAAAAATTCAGGATATATATTGATCAGATATTGCTTCGAAAGTAGCTTTTAATATGGGTTTATTTTTTTCACTCTGAGTGTTGGAGTGGAACTTGTATAGTTGTGAGGACAAAATTTGGAAAAATAAATAAATAATTTTACTCTTGTGATTATATAATATATCAGTTGATACGTATGATTTTAAATTTATTATAAAGCTATTAGAATTGATCTAGTGATGGGAGATTTAGGTAGGTTGTATTAAGTTATCTATTTAATTTCTAGTTGTATTCAAAAAAAGTTATTATATAAATCTCCAAATTATATCAGTTAATTTTATATAATTTTAAAGTATCACTTAAATCCCAATATAATTATAAAAGTATATCATTAAGAACTCATGTGATATATATATATATATATATATATATATATATATATATATATGATTAATTTATATTGATATAAAAATAATAAGCGTTACGGTTATAATTTATTAAATTATATTTATTAATCAATTACTAACCTCCACTAAATTACAATCATTACATGAAGTAGATTGATAATTTAAATTAAATACAAAACGTATGATTTTTACAATGATGTAACTCGATCCTTTATATATATATATATATATAATAATATACATCACATAAGTCCTTTAGACTTTATATTAAAAAATAGAATAACAAAAATTAAACTCTAATCACTTATCAAAGACTTTAACATTGATTTTTATGGTTTTTTTTTTTTTTTGGTACATTGCCAGGAGGTATCCCCATTCAACCTTCTCCGGGCACCATACCCTCGGGGTACGGCCCGTTTGGGCTAGCCCCTCATTGTAACAGTGGGTGCACTAAGCTTCGCAACCGGAGAAAGGACGAGACTAATCCCCCAACCGAAGATTTTTGGCTTATCATTTTTATGGTTTAGATGGAAAGGAAAAGAGAAACCATAAGGAAAAATTAAACCACCCTTATATTATAGCTGTATGTCGAGCGAATTGTACCTTTTTTTGTATAAAAAGATAATTGTGAAAAATCACAGCAATCATCAAATCAATACAACAGGGTTACCATCATCACCGGTGTCAATGCCCAATCTACAAGAAGTTGAAGACGACCACCGGTATCAATGCTACATCGGAATCAACTCTCAGTACATTATACTACATACTTCTCTTTTAAAATTAAAAACAAGTGTATTACCCAAAAAAAAAAAAACAAGTGAACTCGTGTAATGTGTAGCATTAAAAATAAATAATTAAATGAAGTAAATACAATTGAGTCATATTTTTCTAATTTTAATGGGTGTAATACTGAATCCACAAGAGTATTGAAAATTTATCCGACCCCTTTGTAGTTGCTATTTCTTTATTCCGTGCGCTCCATCTTAGGTACTCAGGTGGTGCATTACCCCATCGGTTCAAATAACTTCTAAAAATTAATCAAACAGTTCAAATTTGACTGCATTGCCATGTGTCACAATCTGCATGCTGCAGCAGGGTATATTACAATTTTCCAAATAAGATGAGCTAGCCAAAATAGGAAGGTCAGTCCTCCTCTATTTTGTTTGCAATTATATCATTAAAAACTAATATATCATTGCAAAATCGAGAGAAGTGATGATCGAGTAATCCAAAAGCTTCAGCTATCTTGAAGTATTCCCAGATGCGGACTTATTTGGGAACTGTCAATCTGGAGCAGTATCATTCTCATTAACTCATTCACCTTCAAGTTCCGCACCAAACTGCTCCAGCCGATAAGCATCTTCATCAAGATCCCGGATTGAGGCATGGTTAATTACACCATCATCTTCACTGGCATGTATCTGTCTACCACCAAACCTGATCAAATAAGGAAAAGTATTATCAAAGTTGATATCCACGGAAAAAGGTAAATGCAATTATTCTAAACATTTTCGGCAAATTTTAAATCCCAATATTCCTTTTAACATCATGACGACAGTAAGAAGAGTTCAAGGTCAGACAAGGTACCAAAAGAAAAAGATTTCAGACAGCTCTATCCCTATGCTTACCCACGATGCAAATGTTACCTTACCATCAGTGATTAATGCCTGACCCTACACCATGTCTCAGAAGATAAAGGTATAAAACACAGGAAAATTTGAAAAATAAAAGAGAAAAAGACTTCAATAGGCATCGACTTGGAACAGTACTGGATGTGTCAGCCATTTTAACAATTAATAGTACCTTACCTAGTTGGAGAATGTCAAAAAACAGATGTGGAAATGGTCAACTAAAGAACGTCACCATGCCTAGGTAAACTATGCTTATATGCTATGAAGCACCGACACTTCAAAATAAAATTCCTGACGTGTCGTGTCCGACACTTCCCGACACTCCAATGCTCGTTGCAAAGACTCAAAAAAGGTTCAAAGGTTACGTTGCGTTGCATTTTGAGTTTCAACTATTAGATTCGTTGGATTTCGATTACTATTTTATTAAGTTTAATATAAATATTTGGGATATCTTATGTTTCTTCGCAAAATTGATAGGTATTAGAAGTTTAGCATTTTTTTTGGTTAAATTATTGAATATTAAATACAATATACACTACATAAATTAAAAATATTATATAATATCAAAACGTGTCGAAATTTAATATTTTTAGAATTAACGTGTCAGAGTGTCGTGTCGTATCCCGTGTCGGTGTCGGTGTCGGTGCAACATAGCTTATATGACACGATAAGTTGTTACAACATGAAGATCACACAAAAATTGCAAAGGAAGAGATCGGATAAAATGTGAAGGATTTAATTACCATCTTCCATTCATCAAATTTATGCACGTCTGAGCATCCTTCCTATCCTTGAACTTTACCAAAACAACCCCCTGAGGATGATTCTCATATACCTGCAGGAAAAATCAGCAGGAAACCTAAAGCAGAGGTAAAATTAAAGAACACTCAAATACAATAGGTTGCATGATTACGGGTACAAGTAGTTGCACCGCTACCAGTATAAGTGTGGGGTACGACAAAATTTCTAAAATCTAGGTATGGTTACAGGAGGATATTATCTAAAAATATTAAAATATACATCATCAAGTAACTGATTCAGAAGATAAATACAATTTCCTTAACATTTTAACAGCTAGTTATCAACATAAATGCATAAAGAGCATCCAGCAAGTAAAATATGCTGAAAGAGGACACAATTTGAAGGGGTGAAGTAGCAATTAGTTTCATTTAGTAGAAAAACTTTGCATTTTGCATGGAACTGGCTTGTCATAACAGCTCATTATAATGCTTAACCAACATGCATATAAGCACACTCAATAGTAGAATTTTGGGGGGGGGGGGGGGGGGGGAATGCCAGGTGTATCCAATACTTGTGTGCCCAATGCATATACCGAGTTATGTACCCAATAAGGGTATTGAAATTATTTAGGAGTATGTTAGGAACCCGAAAGCTTACCTCCTATCACTAGAGTGTAGTTTAGGAAGGGGCATAGGGGATTAAGACCCACTTAGAGCATGAGGTATCTGACTCCTCCTTTAGAGGAAAAAGAGATTATGACTGCTGGAAATAGAGGGGGGAATAAATAGAGGATAGGGTGAGAATTAGAAGTAAGAAAAAATTGAGAGGATAGTAAGAAGAGAAGAGCCCAAGCCTCTTGACAGCCAGCTGCTATCATTTCGCTGTTTTGTCATTTTCCACAATTTTCCATACGGTGTACAGATCTATATAGTTCTGACATTGTTCGGTACCAGTGAAATTAATTTAAGTTTCAGCATTTTCCGCATCAATTTCAAGTTATTCTTCTTGTTTTCCGTATCAATATGCAATTTGAATCACCGGAAACACAAAAAACACTGGAAGTGTGCCAGTGGCAAATTTGAGTGCCTGACTCAATAATAATAAGAACAACAATAAGAATTAAATTATATCCATGCATTTTTCAATCAGTTTATTTAACTGGTAACAAAGTATTTATTAGAAATGAGAGAGAAAAGATTAAAAACAAAGAGAATCAATTCTATTAATATTTTCAGGCATACAGATGAATTACCTTGACTGCATCTACAGGACCAAGCTTGACACATTCCTCTTTAACATCTTTTTCTAGTTCTAAACGCAAATTTTCATCAGCCTGCATCAATTGGGTAATATCATCAAACGTTCAATATGAGAAATAGCAGCACCAAATTGTAATCCTGAGAGAGCAAATTAAAATTTGACTGATTTGTGAGAGAAGCAGGAAATCCTATTATAATCATTATCATTACAATAGTAAACACAAATTAATGGACGCATCAAATAAAGTACAAAACCTAAATATATGAACCAGAACTTTAAAACAAAAACAACTTCCAAGTGCAGTTCGTTTCTATAATCTATATAACCATGTCCAAAATGATGGGCAGGTATGGTCACTTGAATAGCAATGTTCTGGAGTAGTTATTGTATCTAGAATACAAGCAAAATTAAGTAATATCAACCCTCATTTCAGCTGGAGTGAACATATAACGAAGGATAACAGTTGCTGGAATTGAAACTTTTGCATCATCACGACCACCTGAGCCATACAATGAGAATAGCATTACTACAAGGGATGTATGTTACATTATAAAAACAACTCTGAAAATGAATCTAAAAACCTCAAAACAGCCAAAAAATCTAAACTTCATACAACTGAGATTGAAAAAGTTTTGAATATGACAATTGAATTTAGCACAGCATGCTTTCTAGCTTCACCATCATCAGAAGCAAACCAAACAACAGAAATACATTCTAGAACAAATCTTTTTAAATGGCTCTCAAGATTTGCAATGCCTCCACCATTCAAACACTAAGATATACAGACTTCAATGAGAAATTAATCACGTAGCTCCAAAATGCACTCAGCAAACTCAAGGATCTATTGACATAGGGGAAAGAATTGATCCAATTACACCATCTAGTAACTTCTTATAAAAATATTTACTAGAAGGTAAATCAATACTGCACTTCAATTTAAAAATATTTAATGACAAAGGAAAATTAGGCTAAAATGGAGATAGAACTGGGAATTAGTCAAATTTCTGAAACATCAACTTGAAAAGATCCGGAGAACAAACATACCCCATCCAAGCATTTTTTCTTCCACCTTTTTCAATTTCTTTTTCCTTTTATTGTCTACTTGTTTGGATACAAACTTGTCTCCTGCATTTGTGCAGAAAGCTCCATCAAACAACAGCAGGCATGATAATTAATTTAACACACGGGTTTACCATAGCTAAGAACAATTATCAGAAACTGCTACATGATGCAATAAAAATTAAATAACGCCACCTTTCTGCTCAAATTTAGCCTGGCTGACAGACATAGGAAGCTTGCCACCAGGGCGAAGAGGTGTTCCGTCCAAAATTTGGGTTGCCAGAGCCACTGATGGTTCCTAGTGTACACAAACATAATGGAAACCCTATTACATTCACAAATATAGGTCACAGGCAGACAGAATAATAAGCGAAAGAGTTACCTTAAGATACGTAACCAAAGCATCTCCCTTTTTCCTTCCTGTCTCTTTATCAACATAGATCTTCACACGAGGCTTTTTGGTTTCTGGGTCCTATTATAAACATAATCAATCATCATGCATATGAAGCTAGTATGAGCCACCAAACCCTCAAAAAGCTAGTCTGCCATTTTTATGAGTGGTCACAGATTGCCACCCCATAATGATTTTTTTTGAAAGAATTGCCTCTCGTAAGGCACTGTTAGCGAGAACTAATTTATAAGAGTTGCTTGGCCTTGTGTAGTTCACTTTTGGTTAGGCTATTGACGAGCATGTGTGTCCAAAAAAGGGAAGATGAGGCCCTCCAAATTCTCATAAAAAATACAAGGCATGAGATGCAAAATATTTTTCTCTTGTAGAAATGTTGATCCATACTTTTGGATGTATTACAGAACCATTTTACCAATAATTTATACAGCATCAACAGTGTTCTTCCTGACATAAATACAACTTGTATTTTTAAGATACTTCTAAACACGAAAAACTAATATATACTTATGAATTACAGTTGAATTATATATTATTTTACAATTAAATAGATAATAGACAATGAAGGAATAAAAAGATACCTCCTTTATAATTCCGCACTTGGAAAATACCTCCACAACCTACAAAATACTACCCATATTAATTCTAGCAACAAGAACTACTTTCAGGCAAATTGATACAAAAGTTAATGCTTACTTCATCAGTGGTAACATCCTCAGGCAAGCCGGTGACATAAACATGAGTATTGATCTTTAATTCGAACCAACTATCAGGAGGTTTATTAGCTTCCTGAAACAGAACAAAGTCAATGGGGGTGTCATTTTCTCCCAAAAGAGGTGCTCATTTCTAAGTCAAAGCAACAAAGATAAGAAAAATGGAGCTGGCTGAAACCATTGATATTAACAAAATGAAAAGAGAGAGGGCACCTTCTTGTCAGCTTCTGTATCTGAAAGCTTCCTCTTTCCATCTGCTATGGCATTGGTATTATTTTCTTTATTTTCTTTACTTTCTTTATTTTCTTCTTCCTTTGAGGAAGCCGTAGAAACACTCAATTTTGAACTATCTTCAAACTTTTCAGAGGCTTCAGAATCAGGTACCTTTGGAAAAACTTCCTCTTCTTGCAAGAAGGTCATCTCTTCAACCCCATAAGGCTCACTGCTGCCAGATCCATACTCCTATCAAATAAAAACTTCATTAATCCCACCCAAAAAAAGAAAAATAACCTAATTAAAAATACATTGAAGAATCAACAACCTTGGCTTGAATGGCCCGAAGAATAAATACAACTAACAAGGGAATTATTTAGATGAATAGAGATCATCACCTCAAGGATACACATGCAAAGAGAAAATAGGTATAACAGAACAGGCCTCAAGGTGGAAAAAACAACATTCTGATTAGGGAGTACTATAATTAAAAGGAAAATGAAAACACATAATTCACATAAAAATAAATACATCTAGCAGAAACCAAACAAAAAAGAGAAATAATGAAATCCAAGTTAAAAAATAAATCAACTACTAGAGAGTATCCAGAACAGAAGTGTTTCATCTTAATTCAATTTTTAGAATGTTTTTAGATTTTACACGGCATAAAACTTAAAACATGTTCACATATGAAGAAAAAAAAATTGAAACTTGAGAAAATTTTATTCGTGCTTGTATAGGGAGGTTGTTCTCGAGAAATTCAGAGAGAGAAGTATTAATTTCTTATGACCTAAAGAATTCCCAGAACTTGCCTTTTGGATCTAGTACCCAAGAGAAGCCATGAAAATTTCATACCTAACAGCCTCTTGGATAATGAACAGCAGCCACAATTTACAGCAATGAAGTATTCAATCGATTCAAAGAAAGGATGACAGGTGCACCCATGATTATTTTCGATGTAAAAACAAATACACTGTATATTTCACAAGAAGTAATAGCAGCTTCTCTGAATAAAGTAATTTTTATTTAATCCAAAATAAATTCATTCATATGGTCTGATCATGCATTGCCTTGCAGACTGTTCAGACTTCCATTAAAACTTTATAGTTAGTGTTCATTTTGTTAGAGATATATAAAACCATTAATGTAGCCTAACCCCATAGCTTAAGCTTTTGGGTTGAATTGGTTCTTTACATGGTATCAGAGCCTCATGTTTCGGGTTTGATCTTCACCGCCCCCTACTTTCTTTTGCGAAATTTCTTAGCACAGGTAGGTGGGCATGTGAATTATCCACCCTTCATGTCCCAATGGGCTCTCGTGTGAGGAGGCGTGTTAGAGATATATAAAACCATTAATGTAGCCTCACCCACCATCTTAAGCTTTTAGGTTGAAATGGTTCTTTACATCTTTGTTTTAGATTTTTGAGAATTGATTTTGGAAGTTACATTTGTTTTAATATTCTCAAGCAAAATCACTTGTTGAAGTGTCAAATTACCAAAAATTGAGTAAATAAAATAAATAATATGGGATAACATAGAATCCCATCAGCATGGCAGAAGCTTCAATTTTTTTGTTTTCTTTTGCTTCTGCCAACAGGGATTGTGTGTGCTTCATAGAGTGTGTAGAATCAATTCTGCTGGATGCCAAACATGACCTATTACAGCGATATTTGATTCTTGGGACTCAAATGCCCATTCGCCGGTGCAAAATCTAAAAAAAAAAAAAAAGACCCTATTGTTTACAAAGCAATGTCAGTGTTATTGAGACATCTCTTTCAGATGTCAATGTTGTTCATATGCCATAATAATATGCCCAAAAATGGAAACAAATATAGATAAACAGTTTGACAAATTTAGAGCCAGCCCTATGAACCACATAAGCTCATTAAGGAGTAACAATTTGATTAAACCAACCCAAATTCCTATGCATCAAAATTTAGTTAAGCCATTAGCCTATCTTCATTTAATCATAATATAACAAAGAACATCGCTGATCACAGGCAGTGAGATATTAAAATTAGATGATAATAATAATGATGTAAATGTCATGCACCAACCTGGGGAACCCAAGCCCTAAGATTCCTGTCCCACTTATATTTAGTCCCATCATCATCGGTAAATTCTTCTTCACCCTCAGGTGGTGTTGAAGGTCTGTCAGAATCTTCTCCTGCTACACCACTGACAACGTTGCCGGAAAAGGATCCGAATTCTGAACCTTCCGCTTGTGCCTCTGCCTCCTTAATCTCATTTTGCCATCTTTCAAACTCATCAACATCATGTGCAGAAACTACAAAACAGGTCACTCTCTAAGATCCGCAAACAATAATAATAACAATGAAATAAAAGAAAGGAAAGCAGTAAGAGAAAAAGAAGAAAAGCTATACCTGCAGTTGAAGAATCAGTTCCCTGTTGATTAATTTCAGCCCACAATTCAGAAATTGAGGACAAGGGCTCCCACTCACTTCTTCCTTCAGACCACACATGTGTATTTTCCGAAAGATATCCATTTAAGAAATGCTCTGTCCATAACAAGTAAATATCCTAAATTGAGGTTTCAGCATGGAACAAATTGTGCTATTTAGTATTCCACTTATTATAAATTTGAGGAACAAACAACAAAATCAAAAACACACAAGACCTAACCCTAGCTCCGCTTTACTCATTTGAAACAGAAAAATATTCAAAAAAAAATGAAAAATAAGGGCTATTAATCTCGAAGAGTAATGCAATAACTCACCGCGCAACTCTGAGAAGGCATAAGGACCGACCTGTTGTTGATTCTCTCCGAGAACATACCATCCCACTTGAGTAACCTTTTCACCTGAATCATCATCACCAAGCTCGCCAGATTATAATCCATAACAAATTCAAATAAGGATGATCCTATTCTGCCAACAAAAGTTGAGAATTTAAAAAAGATAAAACGAAAAAAATTTAGCATTCATCAGTAGTACCTTGCGGTTGCTTTTGTTGGCTCTCATAACCATTTTGGGAACTCATCGTTTTCGGCTCAATTTCTGGGTTTCTGCTGTCTACAATGCCAATATTACAATACAAAGGCACTTTCTAGAGAGAACACAGTACTGGGGTCAGAAAACATTAGGTAAATCAATTCAAAGTGATGATAATAATAATAAAAATAACATGGTGAAATATATAATTCATCAGTAAATTAAAATTTATATTTTCAACAAATATTAGTTTATTTTGCATTCAAAATAATTTATCAATAAAATCTTGATAAGAGAGTATTTTTTTAATTTATATATATTTTTTAATCACTTACTCCCTATAGTTTTTGTTCCATCGAAACATATCATTAACATTGTTATAAACTTAACTAATTTATTTATTTTATCTTTCTTAAAATAAGAAAATAGATTGATGACAAAAATATAAAAAAGAAATAAGAAAAAATATGTTGCAAGCTTACAAATTACAACACTTTCAGAAAAAGCTAAAAGTACAAAAAAAAAAGAGAAAAAAAAATCAATAAATAAATAAGATGAAAATAAATTGAGAAAAAAAATTAAAACAAATATATTGAAAACCTATAACAATTACAAAAACTGAAAAAAGACAAAAATAAAATAAAATAATCTTAATTAAAAAGATGAAAATAGTCTGAAGACAAAAAATATATATATAAGAAAAAGAAATAGCATAGTAAGTTTTCAACATAATTGCTCTTATTTTTTTCTATTTTTTTTCTCAAATTATTTTTTTCTTTTTGATTTAGATATATGGTCTGATCATGCATTCTCCACTCACCGGAGATAAAGATATCTCCAATGAGCTCAAAATGACGTTGTTTTGAGTTATAAAATTAAAAAATTATAATGATAAAAACTAATATAACCCTGTAATATATTAGAATTACAAAAATATCTTAATTTTTGCCCCAAAATAACGTCATTTTGAGCTCACTGAAGATAACTTATCTCCATTGACCGGAGAAATCTTTTACTCATAAAAAAAATAGAAAAAAATAAGACAAATAAGAAATAGAAGAAAAAGAAATTAGTTTTGTAAGTTTCCAAAATATTTGATCTAATTTTTCTTTTAATTTTTTTTTTTGTCTTCCGTCTATTACCTTCTTTTTGATTTGGACTTTTTTTTATTTTTTCTTTTTTCATTTTTTTAGTCTTTATGTAAGTGTCATGAATTTCTAGCATATTCCATCTTTTTTTTAATTTTATGCTCACTTTATTTTATTTTCTAAGAAGAATAAAATAGACAAATTAATTAAGTGTCTAACGGTGCTTGAGATGAATTTGGATGGAAGAAAACCATAAGTAGGTAAGTACTTAAAAAAAAAAATAGGGGATTAAGTGATTCAAAGAAAATTCATAGTGGGGTTTTTAAACTCTTTTCTTAAAACTTTTCGAATCTATAAACTTAAAAAGATCTTAAATCAATCGCTCAAACTTTAAATTTTTTATTCTAGTTAGTTCATTAACATTTTATTCTAGTTACTGTGTTAAATTCTCCTTGGTGAGGTTAACAATCTATCTTGGTAAGATATGATGTAGATCAGATTCCATTCGAGCCATGTTGTTTCGGTTTATAAGACTAAATAGAAAGAGTTGCATTATAACTATTGGCCTAATTGTAAATACTTGATCCAACACATAATATTAAAGCTGAGATCATGAATTTGATTCTCCACGATGACACTTTGCAAAAGATAGATGTTGAGGGATTGTTGATAAACCCGATGAAAAATACTTCATCCATGGCTCTTTGTGTTTGATATATATTAAGAAAAATATAAAATTTAAGTGATGAGATAATTTTTATATTATTATGTGTAACAGCCCGTTGTACACTAGTATTGTTAACATTAATTATGATATTAAGCGCAGTTACAATCACAGCAATTTATTTATAAAAAATACGAGTAAATTTTAAGCGTAATAATTAAAAGCTGTGACCGTAACTGTAAACTCTTCGTGGAATAATATTATAAACTACTTAGATATCATAAAACACTTCTCTCAAGTCACTAAGGTGGTGTTTGGTTTATGGTTTTTGGAAACTTTCCTATGCAAATGAAGCAAGCATTTCAGTTTGCACTTGTTTGGTTCAACATATTTACTCAAAATTCTCATCCATCCAATTTGCATTGCTTTTTCAATTTTTTCAATTTGCACAGGAATTGGCACTGTTTAGAAAGACAAAAGGTAGGTGGTTTTATTTGGAAAGCAGGCTAAATCACTGTGCATAAATTTTTTTGCAGACCGATGTATCCTTCTGATAATTAACTATGCTTTCTTTCAACTGCAGGATGAACTGATGTGGGATGCAACGTGGCTATACTTTGCTACGAGACAATCTATGTATATGAAGTACATACAAGAAGATGTCATAAGTGCTAGTGTGGCAGAATTCAGTTGGGACCTTAAATAATGGAGTTGATTTGAATGTAAAAAACACATAGATTAAAAAAATAAAAATAAAACGGGGTTATTTTCGTAAAAACAACTTTTTTTCCCATCTATATTTTACCTACACCCAAACATAGACTTTATAAAAGTTACCTAATTTTCCCATCAAAATTTTATCCAACCAAACAACTTTTTTTACATTTTCCTATCAAACTCACATTCCAACTATTTCCCTAGTAATCACATTTTCCTACTATTCATAAAATTTTCCCCTCAACCAAACGCCCCCTAAGGGGTTCCCATAAACCCACTTAGCTAAAATATCACTTTTATATTTTCTACCTACCCGAACATGGTTCGGTAATTAAATTACTGCGGATAAACCGCATGAAGCGCGCTCCTCATCTTTTAGTATGTTATTGTACACTCAATTATCTTTCCAACGAGCTATCAGACGAGTCATGAAGTTCTCGTTTGCTCCGGATATCACTGTTTGAAGTTGGACAAGCAAATCTGCCAGTCAACCTCAGATAGGCTCCAAACAACCTTCACTATATCATTGATTCTGGAAAATCCACTCAACCAATTTCTCTCAAATTTTTGTACCTAATAATCATGGGTAGCACACAAGAACCAGCAATGCCTTGGTGCTCTTACAACCCTTCACAATTTATATCCAATTACTCAATTTACATCTCATTACTTACATTTTCAAAACTTAACATATTTCAATCACCTTAGCCCATTTACATGCATTCTTTCTACATACGCATAATTATCAACTAAAATAGGCATATTTTCCTTTCATCATACATCATCCTTCAATAATTACACAAGGTCCAATATTACCATTACAATTCTCCAATGTAAATCATAATGTAATAAATTCTCCAAATACAACATAATGAATTTAAACCTCAACATAAAGCATAAAGAATGTACAACTAGACTTAGGCAAAAAGATGGCATGAACAAATATGACAATATACATAAACGTAAGCCCATATGCAATGTTAATGCCCTAAGTCTAGCCTAGGCCAAGTGGCCACAAAATGCAAAACAATGGTTACGTCCACATGCTCATCCTACAGGCTTCTTGCCCGCCGCCACAACACCACTGTTACCACCTGAAATAAAGTCCCCAAAGCGGGGTGAGATATACGAATATATATCAGTAACTCAGAGGTTCTAGAGAATACTCTGCCCCATGGCTCACTTCGATGCATATAAACAATATAACATAACATTTAAAACGGGATAAAGCAAGGGATTTAGTGAAGTAGGGAAGCATAAGAAAACAAAATATGACGAAGCTGGAATGGACAATGCCAAAACCACGCAACGTCCAGCCTATTGGCCTCGGCATATAACCTATGGGTTCCAAACCAAGTAGTGTTCCCAAAACATCAACCAAGGCACCCTCCATCCATAACCACTCAAGACTTCCTAGTGTGCTCCTCTACGGAGCACACACCACGACCCCAAGTCAACTGGAACTCCCTCACGGAGATCTATCCAGTGAAAGTCCGTAAAGCCCGAAGGCAACAGTCTACTGGCCAGAGACACAGTACATCCTATGTACCACAACACATATAGTATGCATGAACATGTTATCCTATATTATTCACATACATTTCCTACAATTACCCTCAACGGGCATGGTGGAGCACACATGAGGATCAAACCCCAGTACCAAGGGATTACCTAAATAATCTCCTTCTCATAGCTCCAATGCAATACATCCCGAGCTAGGTACCAACAGAAATGCCTACACATAGAACATTCCCAATTCAATTTTCATTCACCAAACACATGCAAGTTATCAAACCTACAAGCACGGTTCAAGAGTACTTACCACAATCCCTTTGGTCCGAAACCAAAGGCAACCCATCGAGCTCACGGTTCAGTGTTCAAATTCCCGGGAGGCAACCTACAATGATCATACACGGATCATCATTACACGGTGAATCCACCAAAATTACAAAACGTCAAAATCCTCCCCTACACAATGGTAGGTTCGGCCATATAGGTGTTAATTTTCAAAATATTTTCTTAAATTTTCTTTTTATTTTTCTCTAGCATCATAATGCTACCACAACACCATTTTAGGTCCTATTTTCCATTCTACACCATCACAACAACATTTTTCCCATTTGTTTCCTTCTAGGTCCAATGGACATTCTCACACACTCCAAGTATTTTTCCTTTGATTTTCCATGCATCCACTCATCAAACCACACCTCTAAACACCATATAACAATACAACACATCAATTGAATAATTTTACAACATCCAACCTCAATTACCCTCTCTTGGCCAAATTGTCCATAGCCTCACACCAAGGGATATCCAATCCAATTTAGCAATTCAATACATTATACAATCCTACTATTAACTCATATGCACATCCAACAACTCAATTACACAATCACATAACCAATCAAATTCACAAAGTCATGGCATCACACTCAAAAATCCACTAAGTTATCATCTAATTTTTATGACAAATATCACTCTAAAACATCATTCTAAGTCACTTTCATCTAATACACAATTTTCATTTGAGCTCTCTAACTACATCAATTACACAAATCATGCTCTAGGTTTTCAAAATTTAGATTCATGAATCAAGCCATAAAAGGGGTTGAAATATACTCACAAGCTTGGCCTAAGACCCCTCCAAGTGATCCCCAA